GAAAAACGGCATATCTGGGACATATAATGCGATACACGAAATACCACTAATTAAAGATTAGACAAGGTACGAGAATTGCAACTTCACAACCGGAATTTAAATTAAAATTCAGTTTTAAGAAATATATCAAGAATTCTATGGTGATTACACCACAGCAAATAGAGCAATTTCATCGAATGTTGGTGAAAAAATATCGAGAAGAGGAAGACCGATGACAGAAATAAAAAAACGAACCTGAGACAGAAAGAAAGACAAGAAGGGGAGGATCGAAGACAAAAAAGAAGACAAGAAGAGAAAGCCCGAAGACAGAAAGCAGGAAATGAAGAAGCCCGATGACGAAGAGAGCAAGCTCGAAGAGATCAAGAACTGGAGAAAATACTGGATATGTAATCCGAATAAATAGAGATAACCGAACATGTGAATTGAATAGAAAAAATACGTTAGGATAGGCAACATTTGGAAAAATGAAAGATGCTTTCAGGACGGAAAATAGACACTTTGTTATCCACCAGTCGACTTGGACAGATGTAATATTATGCTAGAACTGAAGATAATTGTCAATCAGGCCGAAGCGGTGCATCACAGACCCATTTCCAGTATATCGTTGAATTTGTCTTTTAATGGGCTATCCAAAACTCCAAAATTTACAGGAGGTCCCAATTAAAAAAAATTGAAAAGCATAACATTTTGCGAAACGTGGCAACACCGCGTTTTTTTAAACAAATAATTCAAATTTCAATATAGTCTGAAGAAGAGCATTATTTTATAAAAAATATAGAAAAAAAGTTTTAAAAGTTGAGTAACGTAACAATGACTGTTTAAAATTACCTCAAAGCCTGAAGATAATCCCTAAGAAGTTTGAAACGGTGTAACACAGACACATGACCAGTATTTCGTTGAATTTGTCTTTCAAAGGGCTACGAAAAAGTGTATTAAAATATAGGGTTATCTTTTGAAAAAAAAAAAATTTTTGTCCACCCTGTATACTATATAGTAGAGTGACAACAAAAACAATACAAAAAAGTAGTTGTAGATTATTTTAATTGAAACAGCTTTTGTATTTAAGTTTTTTTTACAGCCCTTGTAGATTTCAAGATAAGGTATAGGAAGCTGTGGTATAGGCCCCTCTTCTCTTAAACGGGCCACCCTGTACATACATGAATTTGTTTATATTCCTACCCTTCAGTGTGAGTTGACTAAATATTTTGAGGCTTATCCTTTTAAAAACAAGGATGCCGTGCCTGAAGCGAAGTCTTTTGTAGATAAGTATGTCTTACGATATGCATGGTATTCTTCAGGAAATTATACAGACAGGGGTTCTGAATTTATTTCCTCCAATATGAGCGAAACTTGTAAACTTTTAGGAATAAAACAAATCCATTCAACGACCTATCATCGCGAGAGTATCGGTGCGTTAAAGAATTCGCAGAAAGTTCTAGGCGCGTATCTTAGGATTCGAACGCAAAAATTGAAAAATGTCAGATTCCAGGTAACCTAAATAATGAAGTTGAACCTATTATTTATAAATTTGATAAATATCCTTTTGAATTAAAATATAGGTAACAAAAGGCTTAGGAAGATGCAAGGAATAACTTATCACTTTCCAAAACCAAAAGAAAACAACATTTTGATGACAAAATTAACCCTGTCCAGTAGAAAAAGGGCGACATCCTAGTTAAAAACGAGACGGTTAATAAAATTTCGAGTCCTTGCTTTCTGGCTTCATGTTTAGTGGAAGAGGACGTGACCCCGAATGTTAAAATTTTTTAAAGACAATAGGTATACATTAATTAATCCATAAAAATGGAACTAAATTATATTATTGTCATTGTCATATTTTTGGAATGTTATACTTATAATATTTACAATTGTTCGCTCTCATACATATTCTTCGGGAATTTCCATTTCTGAAAAAAATTTCTTAAATTGCCTGGGGAAGTGTAGTATGAGCTTAAAACACCCAGTACCTACACGATGTTGGTGTTATTAAAGAAAATCGAGTAGGTAGCAACTAAGCAAAAATATTTCAGGTAACTTAGCAGTGACCCCGTTATTGGTCATCACATAAAATATTGTATAAGGTACCAAAAAGTATAGGCTTACATATTATGAGAGCAAGTATTTCAATGTCTTACCCAGAGTAAATGCATTACCTACTAATGAATAAGAAAAGCATTGTATTTGGTACCTACTATAGTTATAAATAGTTTCAGTTTTCATTATTAAATTATTTATTAAAAGATAAACTTGATATTTTATTCGAATATCTGTCTATTCTAACATTTGCTTCGATATTCTGTCCGAGATTCGATATACTGTGCATACATCCATAAGCTATGACAGTGAATCTTAGAGGGTCAGTTAAGTTAGCCCCTCCCCATAGAAAATTTCTAGATGAAAATTATCCCATAATTTTGCTCTCATTTTGCTTCATTTTGCTCCACTAATTTCGATTTTTGCTCCATTACAGTGGAGAGACTATGTGGCCTATTAGGTGGGGGGGGGGGGGGGGGGGGGCTGAATTAACGCTAGCCCCTCCCCAGTGAAAATTCAGAAATTTGATCATGCTCATTTTGTTCTCCGAGTTTTGCTCCATTTTGCTCCACTATCGGCGAGTTTTGCTCCATTACCAGGAGAGACCTACAGAGCTCCCAAGAATCTCTCCCAGCCCCCCCAGTGAAAATTCTGAAATTTGATCATGCTCATTTTGTTCTCCGAATTTTGCTCCATTTTGCTCCACTTTCGGCGAGTTTTGCTCCATTACCAGGAGAGACCTACAGAGCTCCCAAGAATCTCTCCCAGCCCCCCCCAGTGAAAATTCTGAAATTTGATCATGCTCATTTTGTTCTCCGAATTTTGCTCCATTTTGCTCCACTATCGGTGAGTTTTGCTCCATTACCAGGAGAGACCTACAGAGCTCCCAAGAATCTCTCCCAGCCCCCCCCCCCCCCAGTGAAAATTCTGAAATTTGATCATGCTGATTTTGTTCTCCGAGTTTTGCTCCATTTTGCTCCACTATCGGCGAGTTTTGCTCCATTACCAGGAGAGACCTACAGAGCTCCCAAGAATCTCTCCCAGCCCCCCCCAGTGAAAATTCTGAAATTTGATCATGCTCATTTTGTTCTCCGAGTTTTGCTCCATTTTGCTCCATGATCGGCGAGTTTTGCTCCATTACCAGGAATGACCTACAGAGCTCCCAAGAATCGCTCGTAGCCCCCCCGGTAAATTTTTTTAAATTTGAACATGTTCGTTTTGTTCTCCGAGTTTTGCTCCGTTTTGCTCCATTATCGTCGAGTTTTGCTCCATTACCAGGAATGACCTACAGAGCTCCAAAGAATCTCTTCTTGCCCCCCAGTGAAAATTTTGAAACTTGAAATTACTCATACCGAGTTTTGCTCCATTTTGCATCATGATCAACTCGTTTTGCTCCATGACGAGCCGTTTTCGGATACCACGCTTTGAGCGAAGTACTCCGGCTACAATTTTACACATTCGAGCGAACAGAGTTAGGCGCTCTCACTTTCCTCACCTGTTTCCCCTGATGCACCTGTAACTGATTTTCAAGCGTTCGAGTACAAAGCGCATTGAGAATAATGGGCCTGAAATGCTCCAGGTGCTTCGCACACTGCACCCGAAAGCGGCTCTGGAATGAACTACACAGCTCATTCTCAGGAATCTCTCCTTGCAACACGTGTGAAAATTTTGGAGTTTCTATATGCGCATTTTGTTCTCCGAGTTTTGCTACATTTTGCTCCATGATCGGCGAGTTTTGCTCCATTACCTGAAATGACCTACGAGCTCCTAAAAATCTCTCCTAGCCCTCCCATACCAGTGAAAATTTTGTTTGATCATATTCATTCTGCTCTCCGAGTTTCGCTCTGTTTTGCTCCATTATCGGTGAGTTCTGCTTCATCACCTGAGCTGCTTTCGGGTGCCACGCTTTGAGCACTCAGGCGCTCTGAAGCTACTCTCATTTTCCTCGCCTCTTTTTCCTGATGCACCTGTAACTGATTTTCAAGCATTTGAGTGCAAAGCGCATTGAGTATAATCGCCGTATTATTTGTTGTCCTTGTCTAGTCAACAGGCTATTAAGTATATCTCAATAGTTTTGATATGTTTGATAGGTTCATAAAATCTGTCGCTATGAGTCCTCTCGCATTGGCTTCCTCTCTCCCTTCAGACGTCGTCCGTCATGATCCGGGCTGTGGGCTTCAACCTTCAACAAAGGCGGAACACTCGTTCTCATGGAAACGCTGCTCCCCTGTTTCAAGAATAAGGACCCTAGAGGTTATTCCAGGTAATGGAGCAAAATGGACCAAAATTCGGAGAACAAAATGAGCATGATCAAATTTCTGAATTTTCATTGGGGAGGGGCTGGGAGAGATTCTTGGGAGCTCTGTAGGTCTCTCCTGGTAATGGAGCAAAACTCACCGATAGTGGAGCAAAATGGAGCAAAACTCGGAGAACAAAATGAGCATGATCAAATTTCAGAATTTTCACTGGGTCGGGGCTGGGAGGGATTCTTGGGAGCTCTGTAAGTCTCTCCTGGTAATGGAGCAAAACTCGCCGATAGTGGAGCAAAATGGAGCAAAATTCGGAGAACAAAATGAGCATGATCAAGTTTCAGAATTTTCACTGGGGGGGCTGGGAGAGATTCTTGGGAGCTCTGTAGGTCTCTCCTGGTAATGGAGCAAAACTCGCCGATAGTGGAGCAAAATGGAGCAAAATTCGGAGAACAAAATGAGCATGATCAAATTTTTGAATTTTCACTAGGGGGGGCTAGCGTTAATTCAGCGCCCCCCACCTAATAGGCCACATAGTCTCTCCACTGTAATGGAGCAAAAATCGAAATTAGTCGAGCAAAATGGAGCAAAATGAGAGCAAAATTATGGGACAATTTTCATCCAGAAATTTTCTATGGGGGGAGCTAACTTAACTGACCCAATCTTAGAGAAAAGGAAATAATACCTATGTAAATATAAAGAAAGTTATTACTTCACCTTAACTTTCTGGCCGTCAACTGAATTTCCTTTGTCGCTACTGAGCAACGTTTTGGTTACTGGTCCCTTCAAAGAAAGCTTTTCTTGAAGATCCTTGGTCTTAATTTTTAATCTTCTGTTATCGGCTTCAAGTTCTTCAACTTTCTTCCGAAGAACCGAAGCTTCTTGCTCGCTAAGTTCCAAATGCAACTTCAGTTCTTCAGGATTTTCATCTTCTGATTTCTTGTTTTCTTGTGGATCAAGATTCAACCTTTGATTAGTTGGACTCGGTTTTCTACCTGAAATCATTTGAAAATAGTTAATAACAAAAATGAATAGTGCAAATCAATTTGTTGGTCGAAAATTTAAGCAAGAAGTCAGTAAGGGGTTATTTGCAACTGTAGAAAATGGCACATTTGTTAAGAAAACATTTCAAGGGATTATTAGGAACGTCAAAGCAAATGCTGGTTGTGAGTATTTAATTACCACTTAGCACACTACAATCAATTCATGCTTAATGGAAATGTTAACTTGTCACCGACATACTTCTTGCTCGGGTAGCCATTTTTTTCAGCTGCAAAACTAAAGATTCGTTATCGTCTTCAATCCGTGATACCTTCTTGCGTAAATTTTCTGCCTAAAATCAAACAACAAAAACACATTTATTATTTTACCCATCATAGCAGTTATCAAGGTTTCCATAGGTGAGAAAAATCTCGTAGGTGACTGATATATTTGTGTCATTGGCATATTTCTAATTTGCAATGATGATATTAATTCTCTTAGAGGCGAAGTTTCATTTAAAGGTATTTGCTCTAATAAAGTTAAATCTATATGAGTGGAAACAGATGCGTGGTGAAAGAAGGTTTGAGTATATTTGTTATCCGAACGAACTGATGGTGGTAGGGCCTTGTTTGGATTTTTTCTACGTAGAAGTCTGTGTTTCTAACATAAAAAAAATATCTTAGGATTTGGTTGGGGAACTAAACGAAACTATTTTACAGAAGGACAACAAAATATCTTACCTCTTCTTCAGCAAATTTCAGCTGCTCTCTTAAATCAGCTTCTCGTTCGAGGGAATCTTGTAGATCCCTCAGCAATTGAGCCGGATCATCCTGTGAACCTCCTCTTGTTAGGGATTCCCGCGATACTTTTTGCTAGGAGAGAATAGATAAAACTGTATTAAACAGTCACAAAAAAAAAATCGCAAAAAAATTAGATAATGTATAAGAATAATAAACACACTATAATGTATCGCAAGCACCGCGAAACTGAAAAACATCATCTTTATCCAGTGACAAAAGGTAGGATATATTTGCAATTTTCAAAATACAGGGTGAATCTGAAAGTGAGTTTTTTTTTTAACGGGATATATATATATATATATATATATATATATATATATATATATATATATATATATATATATATATATATATATATATATATATATATATATATATATATATCACCAAAATAACTTGTTTGGCAAAAAATTGTTTATACAAAAAATTAAAATAAAGTTACAGGTATTTCAAGGTCTAAAGAAGACTCCAGGGTCCTTATCCTCGAAATATGCGAGCAGCGTTTTTATGAGAACGAAGGTTCTATCTTCGTCACCCATACTCATATTTGCATAACACTGACAAAGATCAGATCAATCGTTCTCATGAGAACGCTGTTCCCCAGTTTCGAGAATAGGCATCCAACTATTAAAGATTTTGTTTACATTTTCTCGAAAAAGAAAGCCGTTATTTGTCCAGCATAATGAGTTTTATTTCATAATAGGTAATCTACAGTTGCATCATTTCATCAGAAAAATCAATCCAAAACTCCTTTTCAACCTATTAATTTCAATATCCTTAAATACCTGTCCCTCCGTTATCTTAAATTTTTTATGTAAATAATTTTTTGCCGAACAACTTATTTTGGCGAGATATATACCCTGTTAAAAAAAGCCTGACTGTATATAACAAAACAAACAGTTTGGTAAATGTATTATTGAAAGTAGAGTTAAGTTTTTTGTACAGAATTATTCCATTCAAAGAACATTCAACTTCAAGTTTTCCGCAAAATAAAAAAAAAAAAAAAATCAAAAAGTCATAGTTTTAATGGAATATAAAGCATAGTTTTCTTGCTGTGTCTAACTGGAAAACAGTTGTTTTCTTGGCCTAGGCCATTTGCTTAGTCACTTTCGAGCTTGTTTTATTAAGTATCCTCTTTCTCCTTCACAATGTACCTACAACAAGAATCTTTTTTACTATGCATATAAACTTCTCATTATTTATCTCCGAACTAAAATTTCCAAATTTCGACGCCATAAAACCTACTCACTTATTATGAGCGCAACAATATCTTCTAATCGACTTTTTGTTTCAGTATCCCTAAAGAAATAGATGTTCCTTATGATACTCTCTTGTATGATCCAATTGTTTCGCTCATTATTTTGTTCGCATGCTAGTACATTTAGCTTCACCTAGAATAAGTGGATTAAAATAGAAAATGGCAAAACGGCTACAGAACATATGATCAAATAAATAAATTCCATAGCTTTGCTGCCTATCTTGAAATTGAAAATAAAGTGAGGTTTGTGGAGAAAAAACATTTGTTTCAAAATTTGCTTAAAAATACTTGAAGGAGGAATAGCTAAAGAAAACAGGTACTGAAAAAATTCCGTCAATAAATCCCGCGTTTCGGAGGCTAAGAAAATAGGCGCTTCTGAAATGAGGAAGCGTCTGATCCTATATTAGCGGCGGCTCTCCCATAGCGTCTGATCCACAGTAAAGAGCGGCTGATCTACTATGTCCCAGAGGTTCATAAACAATCAAAGCCACTGTAATCTGTGCATACGCCCCAACTTTAGATTCTGACGGTGACAAAAAAGAAGAGATATATCTCCCATCTAGATAAAATCTTCACAAATATTCCTCCATCAGTGAAAACTGTTCTGCTAGGAAACTTCAATGCCCGAGTCGGCAGAGACTGCGCCATTTGGAAATAAGCCACCATTGGCAAGGAGGGCATTGGCAAAAGTAACTCAAATGGAAAACTTACACTGACCCAATGGTATGATCACGATCTTGTCATTACAAATTCTCTCTTCTGTCAATAGAATGATCTAAAAAACGAGATCAAAGCATTGACATGTCATTAACTGCGTTATGCTCGGCAAAGACCAACGTGACTTGAACGTAACTAGAGCTATAATTTAAGCTGACCCCGTTATGCTGATTACTGCTGGACTGAAGAATTCAGTACAAAGCTCGTATTATATAGGTGTGTTTAAATTGCTTCCGTTAAAAATCGTTGTCACTGCGTTAAAAACTATCAGAAAAATTCCGGGTTTTCGCAAATCCAAGTGTTATTCAAATTTTCTAACCGAATTTGACATTATTCTAGATGTGAGTGCCATGTGAAGTTTGTAAAATTGGGCTTTAACGTTGGAAACTTATCTGCGGAAATACACAAAAAGATAAATAAAAACCGGCCTTAAATAAACAATACCCGGTAAATATAAACAACTGTTCTTGGTGCCAGTGAATGTTTACTTATTCGAATTGAAATTGAAGACCTTGGTGCCAAAACCGGCCAAGTCCATCTTTTATAGCTTTCGAGAAATTGAAATAACCGTTCCATTTTTGGATGTTGATGACAAACAGATAGCATACAAGCTTTTTGTTACAGGCATACAGAATAAAATTGTTAGGGAAGCATCAAAAAACGATATTGTTCAAAAACGAGCTGGAAATTTCTTAAAATTTGGACTTGTCCGATTTTTGCACCAAAAATTAAAAAAAATTGTTAATGAAAACTTTTAAAGGTTTATTCTGTAAACAGAATAAAAAACTGAACCCGTCTGCTTGCCAACCGAACTTATCCGACTGTTCCGCGAATAAAATATACCTCTGCGCAGATAAGTGACAAGTCCTAGTATAGCCTGTCGACGGAAGTATTTGATGCAAAAACCGGATAAGTCCTGGGCAGTGCCGGCCCGAGATCTGGATTTGGCGCCCCTAGTTTAAATGTGATTCGCATACGCGAGTATGGATTTTGACCAATATGTAATTTAACAGGTTTGTTCCAACCAGTCAAAAAAAACGCAGGGTCGCCGCTACCATGTGTGCAAAGTGTGCACCGCACACAGGCGGCCAAAAATAGGGGCGGCCAAAGCAAACCCTACTGATAATACTTTTTTTTCCGAACAACGAGAAAAAAAATTAAATTAAATAATAATTATTCTGTAAACTCCAATATTTATATAACAATAATTATTTTATAAGCTTAGCCTATATGGAAAATACTGGAATGCAGCGCTGCCACCTCTACCGATTTATCGGTAGATCTACCGACTTTCAAATGAATCTACCGATCTCCCGATTTTAAACCATTTTCTCAGGATTTTTTTGCATTTTGTCGGTAATGCAACAAATATGTAGTTATACCGGGTGCCCACGAGATTACTTTCCGGCTGCCATTTTTTTATTTGTTCATCGATATAGACGAAACTTGGTAGGCTTGATATTCTCATGAAACGCCATTTTTGTGCATCCACGACAAGTTTTCCTGACTTCCGGGTTCACCGGAAATTACCGAAACTTTCGATTTTCAAATGGCACACCCTGTATATTTTTTGTTTTTTGGATTCTACAGATCGTTTTACGTCCTAATGTGCCACTTTTAAATCAAGTTTTGTCCAAATTTCGTTTCCAAATTAAATTTCAAGTATAGAAAAAAAAATGACCTACATAATAAAACAAAAATATTTGAACGAAAATTAAGAAAAATGTCGTAGTGTATTATATCGTTGGATTCGCTTCAAAATACTGCATTTAGTAATGTTATGAAAGTGATATGTTTCTATTCTAGTTTTTGAGCTAGGGCAAAAATACTAAAATAATGAAGTTCACAGCCCTCTATCAAAAAAGTTTACAAAGATAATATTGAGTTTGTATTTTTCTGAAATTAAGTAAAGCATGTAGAGTCATTTTAGGATGATCATGGCACTCTAGTTAAAAAATTAAAATTTAATTTAAAAACAAAATTTAGACAAAACTTGATTCAAAAGTAGTGCATTAGGACGTAAAACGATCTGTAGAATCCGAAAAACAAAAAATATACAGGGTGTGCCATTTAAAAATAAAAAGTTCCGGTCATTTCCGGTGAAACCGGAAGCCAGGAAAACTTGCCATAAATGCATAAAAATGGCGTTCGGTTAGAATATCATTCCTACCAAGTTTCGTTGATATCGATAGACAAATAAAAAAATGGCAGCCGGAAAGTGATCTCGTGGGCACCCGGTATATTTTATTTAAAATAAAAAATTTAATTCTTTCTCATTCCGCAAGAAAATCTAAAAACTAATGACATCTGACATCGTGTCTCGTATGTCACGTCACTGATGAATACTTATGAAAACGCTATTGAAATTGAATGTCGCTACAAATTATAGGCAATTGTGTCATACTCCCCCTCAATGTACTCCCCTAACTTCCCCACTATCAAATTCTGGGATACTCGAGGATCAAGAACACTTAACTTCTGTGAGAACAATCCAAAAATCACCTTTTCTACATTTAAAATCGACGAAAAAATTAAATCACTAGATCAGCCTGAATCTGCATTCCATCGCGGTCTGCAGGTGACGTCATCACTCTTAGCTGCTGGTAGTGACGTCACTCGTAGGCCAGGAATTGGATGGTGAGGGAGTTAGGGAAGTATGACACTATGACACAACTGACACATAACATGAGGGCCCGGATTCCAACTGACAATACGATATCGGATTAGGCGCTTTCGGTCTCGATTTCGTATTTGGTATGTATACGAAAGCGATTCGATTTCGTGATCTCGATAGTAAATGGAATCCCCTAACTGAGCATAATCAGTGTTTGATTATGCTCGCGAAAAATTGAAATAGGAATCACATTGCATAATAAAATTATGACTAAATTTATTGACTGGTCTTATATACCTAAGCAAATTGTGGCGGAATGACGTCATATGACGCAACCGCCTAGCTACCGATTTTTAAACGAAAACTACCGATTATTTCTCCAGGCATCTACCGACTTCATTCTGTTAGAAGTGGCAGCACTGCTGGAATGCATTCATCTCAATCAAAACAGAAATATTGTATTGTATCTAGCTTTTAAACTGA